GCGATCGTGACTTTTTAACATTTCACATGACTTGCATTTGTAATTTTTTTTTTTTTCTCCCCCCAGTCCGGAAAAGGTGAGCTGAAGTTCTCCAGCTTGACGTTTGCCGACTCCGGGATGTACCAGTGCATTGCAGAGAACTACTGGGGCATCAAATACGCCAACGCCGAGCTGCGGGTGATCGGTGAGCCCACACAAAAGTCGCCGAGTCGTCTTTTGACCCGCGGCGTGGCGACCTTTTGAACTTCATTCCCTTCAGCATGCGCTCCGACCTTTGAGTTCAACCCTCTGAAGAAGCAGCTCCTCGGCGCCCGAGACGGCCGCGTATTGATCGAGTGTAAACCCCGAGCGGCCCCGAGGCCTCGCTTCACCTGGAGCAAGGGCAAAGAGCTGCTCTTCAACAGTTCACGGTCAGCGGAACCCGCCGCAGCTTTTCATCGCGCTCTCCTCTCCTTCTCCGCAAAATCTCCACTTTGCTTTTCGCAGCATCTCCATCATGTTTGACGGCACTCTGGAGATCCTCAACGCCACAAAAAACGACGAAGGTTTCTACACGTGCTTTGCTGAGAATGACAGAGGGAAGGCCAACAGCTCCGGTTATCTCACCATCACGGGTCAGTTGTTCGAGATGGATCCCTGAACGGCGTTATCAATCATTCGAAGCGGAATCATCATAAAAATATACACTTTGCTGTATGTCAAATAGTCTTGTCACGATATGGTGCTAAAATGCCGTTTTCTTAGAGGCAACCAGCATCACGGTGGCTCCCGAAGACACGGAGGTGACGGTAGGCGGCGAGGTGGTCCTGGCCTGCTCGGCCTCCTACGACCCCATGCTGGATATCGCCTTCATCTGGGCCATCGACTTCCGGGTCATCGACTTTGACGCCGAGTGGCAACACTACGAGCGCATCATGGTACCGTCTCGAGTACACTCTTATTTCGATTTAAAATTAAGAAGATGAAAACTAAAAGAGCGTATTCCTTCTTCTTGTCAATGTCGAATACTGACGACACTCTCTTGATTGCATTTCTGTGCCTCCTGCCGAAGAGCCAAGAAGGCAGCGGGAACCTGCGCATCAAGAACGCGCAGATCTGGCACGAGGGCCGCTACACGTGCACGGCTCAGACCGTGGTGGACGGCGACGCGGCGTACGCAGACCTAAAAGTCGTCGGTCAGTCGGCTTGCCTTTCGTCCCAGGCAAATAACCGAAAGACAAGGCAGGGAGATGTAAACGTCTTTGTTGTAGGGGTCCCGGGGCCTCCCGGTGTCATCCGCGTGGAGGACATCGGCGACACGTGGGTGAAGCTGCTGTGGACGAAAGGAGCCGAGCACAACAGTCCCATTCTGTCCTACACCATTCAGACCAGGCACTTCTGGTCTCTGCACGAGGACGACTGGAGGAACGCCAGCACCTGTGTGTAACCCATTGCGCTGGTCAACGGCACATTTGAATCAGGGATGGATTTGGGGGCATCTCTTGGCCACCAGATGGCAGTATAATGCTTACAGACGTCATACAGAAACGCATCCGGTCTCTTTGTTAAGCAAGCGACTGAAATCTGATCTCGCCAAGCTCCACCGATTTGCTTCAACTTGAGCGTCTTTCAGCGCCGAGCTTCCTTGACGGCACCGTGGAGCGGGCCGACGTCACCGACCTGTACCCCTGGATGGAGTATCAGTTCCGGATCATCGCCACAAACGAGTACGGCTCGGGAGAGGCCAGCATTCCCTCGCTCAAGATCAAAACTTGGGACGCACGTAAGCAGACGCAATATTGGGAGTTTTTTTGCATGACCTCCCTCCGCTTTCACATTTTGAGGGGATCGAAGTTCCTAGTTGGATTTAATTGCAATTTTATTGCCCCCCTCCTAGCACCGGTGGTCTCTCCCGCCGATGTGGAAGGCTACGGCGGTCGGAATGGCGAGATCATCATCACGTGGACGGTAACCGAACGCGGCTTTGCCGACATATTTGGCAAATGTCCTTTTTGGCGCTGCTCTCACGACAATTTGCCTCCCCGCAGCCCGTGCAGCCGTGGTATTTCTACGGCAAGAAGTTCGGCTACATTGTGGCCTTCAAGCCCCACGACGGTTACGACTGGTGGTATGAGACCATCTCCGACCCGGAAACCAGGCGCTACGTTCACAAGGACTCCTTCTTCCTGCCCGGCGACGAGGACTTCCAAGTACGGGAGTTCCAGGTGAAGATCAAGACCTTCAACGTGAAGGGAGACGGGCCCTACAGCCTCACCAAAGTCATCTACTACCCTCGAGACGGTAAGGACACCCCCTGGCGTAGCTCGAGAGGCTCAAGTCTTTAGACGAGGGTTGCCTTGTAGAGAATACGCGACCGTTACAGACTGAAGAAAAGCAGTCCAAGGACGAAACCTTGAGGGACCCCTTCGATCAGATTCGAAATGTCGGTGCTGGGTTTTCGCAATTGAGTCCAAGGACCCCATGCAAGGGAGACATCCTCTTCCAAACCTCGCTTGTGTTGTGTAGTCCCCACAGAGCATCCAACCGATGTCTACGCTCGGCCAGTGTCCTCCACGGAGGCGCTGGTGTGGTGGCTCCCGGTGGTGGACACGGGAACGGGCCTGCAGCAGTACATTGAAGGCTATCAGGTAGAGAAGCTTTGACCAAATGCTTCCAAAGGACCCGCTTACTGACTCGCGTATTCCACGTCAGGTGAAATACTGGCGAAAGTACATCGACACGGAGCCGGGAGCCAATCGCATCTTTGTTAACGCGACGGTGAGCCAAACCAGGCTGGAGAACATGCTGCCCGACTCGCATTACCTCATCGAAGTCCGAGCTTTTAACGGAGCGGGCCTTGGCCCGCCTGGCGAACACTGTGAGATGTTCACCAAAAGACCACGTAAGACGACTAACAACCTTTTCAGATGCCACGCAGGCCACCGCAGGCCCCCCCCCCCCCCCCCAAAAAAAATCCTCCATTTTGGATGGCTCCTCAATGTCACATCTTCCTTTCACAGCGCCAGCGGAGCCCCCCAGGATGTGGCGCTTCATCTCGTGGACTGGAAAGTGGCTGTACGTGTGGTGGGATCACATCACGTACGACTGGTTTGGGAACGTCTCCTTCCCGCTCTATTACAAGGTGAGATCAACGGAGCCAGAAGAAGCGCTTCAAAGAGGGGCAGGGCGAACTTGAAGCTGACAAAAAAAAAAGCACATCAGCACTCTTGAAAATCCCACCGACTTTTCAGGTCATGTTCCGAAAGACGGGCTACATCTACGGGAAGGTCTACGTCACAGGCTGGCACTTCATGGATTTCCCCATGCCGCAGTTTGGCGACTACGAGCTGATGGTCCGCGGGCGCTACGAGGGAGGCGACGGTCCCGTCAGGACCATCAAACTCCTGGGTAAGACTGCGATCACGCCGACCGACCCATTTGGCCGGCCGCTTCACATTAGCTCCGCTTCTCCTCAGGTAAGGCCTCCATGACCACGCCCACGCTCAGCCTCACCTCTGGACTCTTGCTGGCGCTGTGCATTGCGGCATTGTAACGTCGAGTCAAGAGGTTTTGCTTTTCCCTTGCGCACTTCACATCGGTCGTAGTTCCAAAGACTGTCCGTCGTGCATCTCGGACTTGAGGATGCAGCATCTATAGCCGCATAGCCCAATGTGCATTCAAATATCTTCTAGACTTTGGCTTCAAGATTTTTTATTCATTTTTTTTTTTTTTTTAATGGCTTTTATTTGTTTGGAGTCAGTCTATCGTGTAAACTCACTAGCAATCATTGTTTATGAGAAGCACTATAAGAAGCAATCGGATTGTGTGTAAAAGAGCTGTCAAAGAGTGCTTGTAGATGAGCAAAGGACAACCCGTCTATTTATTAAAATACTACTCCACCAATCTCCAGGATGCTTTATTTAAGATTTTTTTAAATCACTTTTTGAATCATGGTTTTAAAATTGTCAAAATTCTACAAAAAAAAAATGCTTGACCATTTTTGTCCAATGAAACAATATGCATCTTTCTTTCTTTGGGGCAGGGGCATGAAAAAATCAGAATGTGGAAATGCTTCCTTTTCACTGGACAATTTTTGTTCATCATTTAGGTCATGACTTAAAGTCAAATATAATACAAATATCTCGTATTTTAGAAAAGAGTGTCTATTGACTTGTGAATTGACGAGCCCGTAAATGTACGCGCGATGTAGCTTATATTTTTCAACAGCAGATGGAGCCATAGTCACGTGTATACAAGCCAGTTCCAAATTAATGAATACAGTGTTAAAAACAAAAAGAAAATGCTAATTCTTCTACAATTGTGTGTGAATGCTGAATGGAGAAAAAAAAACATGGAATCGTGTGGAGTGATATCATGATGTGGAATTATTTGAATGTATATATGTAAAAAAACAAAAGTGCAATATGGTGGTGGCAAATGTGGAATGATATAGGATATTCAATGATATGGAATCATGATAAATGTGTAAATACACCAGCGAAAAATGTGTGTTAATTGTGTTTCGAAATTGGTGGAATGATAATGATCTGGCATAATATCGGATGATATGCAGTAATTGGATGCAAGCTGTTGCTGAGGTGACATCGGAGTAATTCATCATCACGCCGCACCGTGTTGGCAGAGATTGTAAAGATGAGCCTATTACCACTTTTTAACGGTTTTGTACAAATGGGGTCAGAGTGGCCACTGAATGTTTTATTGCCGAACTTGACACAGATGCATTTTTAATGACGGTTTCCAGCTCAAAGCATCAAATAATGCTGCATAAGTGAAAAATGCTAATGCTCGGAAAAGACCAACTTTGCACTTTTTTTTAATGTCCTCTCCCTGTAGTAAAAAAAAAAAAAAAAAAAAGCACGAACCTGGAAAGCTAAAACTGACGTCCCAAACAAATGGGGTCAGAGTGGCCACTGAATGTTTTATTGCCGAACTTGACACAGATGCATTTTTAATGACGGTTTCCAGCTCAAAGCATCAAATAATGCTGCATAAGTGAAAAATGCTAATGCTCGGAAAAGACCAACTTTGCACTTTTTTTTAATGTCCTCTCCCTGTAGTAAAAAAAAAAAAAAAAAAAGCACGAACCTGGAAAGCTAAAGCTGACGTTCCAAAATGGGCTCCAGTGGAACTTTAAAAAAATGTTCACAGTTCAACCCTCGTTGTCTTCTTGTCACCCAGTTCAACTTGATGTCACCAGAGTCGTTTGAGGGACGCGGTCTTCGCTAAGCTTCACTGGATGCTTGCAGCAACCTTTAAAATAAGCGATTTAACTGCCAAAGTGATCCCTAATGTGGAGAGAATATATACATGAGTCATTAAAGCTTTCCTCAAGGACACTTCATAGGGACACGTTTTGTCCTCTGCTTGATTCCGCTAAATTGTTTTTAATACAGTTTAGATATTCGTGTACAGTAGGTCTTTACTGCACAATATACTGTACGTCAATTTTTTTTTTATGTTTATTTTTTGGTTCTTAGTCTTCTTGCCAAATGATTTACTTCGTTGTGCTTTAGGTTTGTTTTGTTTTCTTGCATCTCCTGCTGGTTGTTTTGCTGTCTGCTCGTCATGTTTTTTGTTTTTTTTTGTCGCCACCTGCTCCTCTTGTGTCAACCAATCAGCTCTGTCCAGCCATTCACGCCTCATCCAGGTGTGCCTCGTCGCCCTGTCTGTATGTCTATGTTCATTTCCGTGGTTCTTCTTCGGTCTGTCATGTTTCCTGTTTCAAAGTACAATGTCATATTGATTTTATTGAAATATTGCGCTTCCTGGTTTATATTTTGAAGTTGAACTAAAAGCAAATCATACCTCCTAATGAATAACGTTCAAAGCAATACTTAAATTTAAATATTTCGATATTGAAACGTCACTGGGAGCCTAAATGCGATCCCAGCATGCTTTGCGGCGCTTAGAATGTAAATAGTTTTTAAAGGCATGTTTTGTGTCAATTATTTCCTCAATGCATGTTTTGGTTGTTTCATTATTTGCTAGTATTTTATTCAGTTTGCTATGATAAGTTTGGTTTAATGTGAATTAAAATATAAATATATTTGAACCACAGTTTCCGTGTCACATGACTATATGTCGTCACATCAGGTCAGCCCCGATTGGCCCGCTGTACCGCCGCCAATTCAGCTTTCCCTCACTTCGTTTGTGTTTTGTAGTCCGCCATTGCAACGCATGGACGACCTTGGTATACCGAAGACTCGTCAAAAAACAAACAAGCAAAACAAGGTAAGACTTTAAGGTTTTTAATTTTGCTTTTCTATAAGGTATTTTATGACATATGGATATGTTTGGTTAAAAAAAAAAAGCGTCACCAACTCGGCTCCTCGAGGCCTCCTTTCGAACATTTCATGCTAAATGTTGACGATATGAAGACAATTGATTTGACAGGCACTGTGTATTGTTTTCCGGTGACCCAACGCTGACTATTTCTGCTACCGTTTACCGTCACACCCACTATAAATAGTATCTCTTTATTGATTTATGAAACCCCCAGTCGACCCTGACAATGAATCACCATTAAAGGGAAGACAAGCTAAACAAATGAAGGTTAATGCCCAAGAGTGTAAAGAACCTCAGTCCCTTCGTTGACCACTTCAGACAGGGGGCACGTCACTCTGCTAAATGTTAGGATGAGTTCAGAGGTCAGAGGCTTTGGCCTCAATTGGTCAGACAGTGATACATCACCAGAAGCCAAGAAACTCCTTGGAGAGCTTATATTTTCTTTTGGGATAAATGTCAAAGATAGCAAGTCCAAACAAGGGTTCCTTGAGGGATTGCTCTGACCTTTTCAGCGAATGAACTTTACGTACCATATGTACCGGGGACTTTTGATATCTTTTGGGGCAATGGACTGTTTTGCCGCTTGTAAAATAAAATTATATAAATATACACACAAAACACATTTCTTTATCGAGCTGCATCGCTCTCAAACAAGTTTACCTTCAAACCGAAGGCCCTAATATTGCTAGCGTCCTCTGACAAGATTGTCCGCCTTGATTCTTGTCAATGTTCATTTGTGTGTCCGTGTTTGCTCGGAGCGAGGTGCTGCAGCATTTCACACCTCTGGAGACTTTAACAAAAATGTATGCGACCTCATAAATGTCCTCCTATGATTTTTATATGCCTAGTTAAAGCTGGAAGTTTGACTAGTAAATCCCATGCATAAGATCATGATAAATAACACAGTGCACTGTTTATTTTTTCTCTTTAAATCAAATCCTCTGACACCACAGCCTCCAAAATGAGCTTAGCGAAGGCAGAATTTCTGTTTTGAATGTCATTCGAGGGCGCAGGTGTACCTAATGTCTTGTCCCGCGTATTATATGCCGGTCGAGTTGACCTCATGCTTCATTTGACCCCGCGACACCAGCTTTATGATCTGTGACACTTATTGAAAACGCAACAAAGGCTTCGAACCAAGAAACATAAATCCATATTAGGTAACTAATGAAGGACCGGCCCACATTCTCCTCACGCGAGGAACAAAAAGCTGAAGATGTTCATACACGAGCAGCATTGTACTGTTTATTTTATTTAATTTTTTACTTCTCACGAATGCTGAAATGGATTATAATTTATTTTATTGTGAATGGGGAAAGAGAGTGACATGCGAGTCATGCTGCTGCAAGGTCACTGGGGCTGATTGTACCACCTAGTGGACTGGCATGTTTACAGCAGCGCGGAAGATTACATCGTGTCACCATCAATCAAAATTGTTCCACGCCACCACGGGATGCATTATGTGTCTTCCAGTACCAAGTGGGTGTCATTATTATTTTGTCTGAAGGCTTCCCATTTGGCGTACGGTTCATTCAGCTTTTGATATCCGTTAAAGCTTTTTAATCACCTTTTCCTTCAGAAGAAAACAGGACCAGAGATGTAGCGAAGAAGTGTCTTGTGTGTGTGTGTGTTGCCTCACACATCATTAGAGCATGTCTCCGGCGTATGGCTGCTATTTCACTGACAGATCTCCTCTTAGAGTCCCTCTGTCATCAGCTCTGTCATATTGCAGGGTTGCCATGACGACATATGTCCCAAAAAGGAGAGGAAGAAAAAAAACCACCCTTGCCTGGGGAGAGTGATTTGATTAAAAGCAACAGCACGGGGACTGTGGATGACAAGTCCAGTCCTATCTGACAGGCTCATGTCCCCTTAACACGCATTAAATGTTTTTTTTAATTTATTTTTTATGTAAATCGGCTATCAAAATAAAAATGAATGGACTGTAAACAAGTGCTAAAAGTGGCCGTTTGACCCTCAGCGAGCTGCTTTGAGTTGCTGTGCGTCTCTCATGTGCACTCCACTTGACAGTGCTCATTAGCACCGTAAAGACGCAAACCATCTGATCCTTTTGACCTGTCGGGTCATCGTGCGCCAAATCAGCTGCGGGGAGGCTGGCGTCAAACCATCAAACATCACTTTATAATCCATAAAGACAAGACAAGCAACTGCTCTGCAAAATGCTCTTCAAAATTTTAAAGTCCATGCGGGCGAATAAAAAAAAGTCGTTTTTGGTAAAAGACGCATTTGTCGTTTTGCTCTTTCAGCGTTGAGTGTAATTAGTTCACATTCAACTATCTTTTCACTCTCACTTTTTTGGGGCTTGGCCATCAGGGAGTTGTAAATGTTTTTTATTAGGCACTTGGACCGCAAGATTGGTTCCAGCAGAAGGCCTTGAGCCCCGCCCACCCAATCATGTCATCCAAAAAATAAAAATAACTTCACTTATTGTGATGGGGCGGTGCATCAGTCGGGTTTTTGAAGCTAGATAACACATTGTCAATAGCCCAGCGTATGCAACATGCAGAGTTAACCAAATATAAAAATATAGATGATGCGTTTGGTGTTGAACAAAACAGCAGGTTGCAAAGGGCGTTCAATCAATATCTCCTCACCTACGTTAGTGTTCACACAAGACTGTCAAGTGGTTTTAACTGAAGATTTGGGGGGCGGTGGAAGTCTCCTTTTTTTGACCCTCGTCTTCCATCCTTCTTTCTCTTTCTCTGATAGAAGCGGAACACAATGGGCATGTCCTTATCTCCCAGGCAAGGCGCACAAAGACGAGCCCGGGCAGCTGGAACCAGGAAGCGAGACGAAAATGCTCCAGAGTTCAGCGGTATATGACTAATCTTACGCCGTCCGACCTAAGCACCCGTCCCGCCCCCCCTTGTCTTTATCGCCGACTTTAAGGCCGCGTCAATTCACGGCTGGGAAGAAAATTTGCATGGGAAATGAAGGAAATCCTGTGTGTCAAATGACTCCTCTTTCAGGATTGATTGGCTCGGTCTGAAAGTCTCTCCTGAGTATTGTCTCGTCCAGATCCGTGAAGCCGGAGCGGGGGTGAGTCCTTGTGCTCCTCCATCTGCATTTTAAGTTTGAGGTTAACACTTTGTCTCCATGTGTCCCGGTGTGGCCATCCGTGTGCGTGTTGGCCCCGTGGCCCCTGTAATCCAGTTAAGCACTTGGACAATATAGGAACAGCTGGCTCGGCCTTCTTGAGCTCGTCGGAAGCTGC